GGGTTTCACCATGTTGACCAGGATGGTCTCGATCTCTTGACCTCGTGATCCACCCGCCTCGGCCTCCCAAAGTGCTGGGATTACAGGCTTGAGCCACCGCGCCCGGCCTAATATGCAAGTTTTTACTCTTCTGCAATCATTGAAAGTTGTGCTTGATATCTAAAAGGATAAGGATGTTGGTACCCAAGTCACTGTATCTTTACACATTGCTGCACACATCACATAATTTGTCCTAAGACTACGGCCAACAGCACTTTGATACTCCAGCAGAATGGGAAGCAGCATCACCGCTCCCAGGAGGTCTGGCGATCGCACGCGCAACGTTGTGCGCATGCGCCGCCCGAGTCAACCGTCCGTTGCTGCCGGGAATGCGCAGGCGCGTCGCTCCGGCGCCGGCTTTGGCGGAGGGGCGGGGCTTGCACCGGCGTCTCTTCTTCCAACTGCAGTTTGGGGCAGCGCCATTTTGAATGTGCAGCGGCTGCGGGCCTGAGTTCGGAGAGGACGGGTTGCCGGCTCGCCTACCAAGCGGTTTCTTGACTGTCAATATTTTGTTGTTAGAGGCTTATGTAGAGACGTATACATATATATATAGATATACGCATTACATATAGATCTAGGCCTGTATCTGGTGTCCGAGGGGAACTCACTAAGATGATGTTAAGAGGAAACCTGAAGCAAGTGCGCATTGAGAAAAACCCGGCCCGCCTTCGCGCTCTGGAGTCCGCGGCGGGCGAGAGCGAGCCGGCGGCCGCCATGGCGCTCGCGCTGGCCGGGGAGCAGGCACCACCCGCGCCCGCGCCCTCGGAGGACCACCCGGACGAGGAGATGGGGTTCACCATCGACATCAAGAGTTTCCTCAAGCCGGGAGAGAAGACGTACACGCAGCGCTGCCGCCTGTTCGTGGGAAACCTGCCCACAGACATCACGGAGGAAGACTTCAAGAGGCTCTTCGAGCGCTATGGCGAGCCCAGCGAAGTCTTCATCAACCGGGACCGTGGCTTCGGCTTCATCCGCCTGGTGAGTGTCGGGCCGCCGGCGCGAGGGAACAAAAGGATTGTCGGGGTGGCCGTGAGGTCGCGGGGCCGTGGCCGCGACCTGTGGCAGCCGTGGCGCTGCTCGGCCTCGTCGATCCCGGTGCAGGGTTGGCCGCTTCCCCAGCTCGGCGCCTTCGCCTTTGCTTTCGAGCTCGCGGTCCCGGGATTTCCTGCGCTGCCCGTGGCCGCCGTTTTCTGCCGTGCGCCGATCCGGCTTTGCGGTGGCTGCAGGCCTGCCGCTGTGCGCCGGATCCGGCACGGTGCACCCTGCCCCGAGTAGCGAGCGCTCCCGGATTCCCTGTTGCCGGGGTACCGACAGGGCCCGGGGGCAGGGGCGGGTAGCGTTTTGGGCAAAAATCGTGCCGTAATAATAGAAACGAATTGGATAAGAATTTGGAACGGAAGTTTGAGTCAGACCAGACATATCACTAGGTGTGAGGGTCTAGCCAGGAGACTTGCCTCTAAAAGAATTAGTCACATCTCCTCCATCCCCTCCTTGGCTTTAACCAGACCTTTATGCGTTTCAGGGTAGGCCGCTTTTTTTTTTTAATTAAATTTGTTTTACTAGAGATGGGGTCTCGCTATGTTGCCCAGGCTGGTCCCGAACTCCTGGGCACGAGGGATCTTCGTGGTTTGGCCTCCCACTTTATTTCTCACCTTAGTACAGCCTGCTATTTACCTCAAACTGCCTAGGTGCCCAAACTCGATACTCAGGTAACACTGTTTAATCTGCAGTAATGGGACGGTGTTTAATTGAATGTATCTAAGATAGTGCTTTTCTACCTAATATCCTGGACACTTCCACATTTTTGTAGGGGGGAGGATAGATGATACACAGTACTACTTCATAAATGCTGATACGTATCCTAGTATAATAGTAATATAGCTTATCCTCTTTTAATCCAAACTTTGAAAAGTTTTCCAGTAATTTATGGAAAAATTGTGCTTCCTTTGTTTATTTATTTTGAGATGGAGTGTTGCTCTGTTGCCCAGCCTGGAGTGCAACGGCGCGATCTTGGCTCACTGCAACCTCTGCCTCCCGGGTTCAAGCGATTCTCCTGCCTCAGCCTCCTAAGTAGC